TCCACATGGACCACCAAGCTGGGCTGAGCAATGCTACCATGAAGTGTGTCTGACTCCATTTACTTCTATATATCTCTTTTATCTCTCATGCTCTCTATAACTTTATTATAATCTTTACTTATTATTGCTGTACAATTGCACCTACCAAACCCGTAGTGATTGTGCTAGGAGCTGGTTTCTCCTGACACCACATAACCTTGCAGTCTCTCCTGTGCGCAAGAGGAGGAGGAGGAGGAGAGGGAGGAGACAAGGAAGGAAGCGAGGATGGAGCAAAGGAAGAAAGAATCTTGGAGTCAGAAACAGCAGCAGGCCAATTTGCCAAACCAAGAGTGAGGTCTTTCAGGGGAAAATGGTCTCTGGGTGGTGCAAGGGGTTTGAACCCACCCAGCAGCTCCATGCAAGAAAGGCCTGGTGATCCGCTTTCAGAAAGCCCCCTGATGCTCAGGGCGAATCGGTAATGTGTGTTCGCCTGGAGTCAGGTGGTGCCTTCTTTTCCTGAGGGGAAACGATTATATTGCACACTTTTCTTATACCCACAGGCTTTAGTCTAATATCAAGCATTGATATGCCTCCTAATCAGTACTCGTTGATTACTTCGGCCAAAAACTTTCATTCCATTTCCTCAACATCAGCCTGTCCACTTCAGCCTGAAACAGGCGGGCGAGGATCCATGTTTGTTCCCGGGACAATTTGGCCTTGGCCTTGACTTCCTGGAGCTGTTGCGTGTCAGAGTGAGGACAGAACTCTGCCCAGCTGACAGACTCATAGAAAACCTTTTGACCCGGAGAAGCGGTTCTTGTTATCATCCACTCTGTGGGAGAAAGACGAGGCTTTCGACTCTTGTGAACATTTATTCTTGGAAACCCATGGGTGCAGTTCTACCCTGCCCGATGGGGTCGCTATGGGCAGGAATCAAAAATGGAGCTTTTGAGCCTGCAAAGGCAATGTTTGCCTCACATCACAGATGACTCTCTCACAGGGGCTCCATCCATGAGATGGTTTTCTTATAGCCCGTCAACAAGACCCACCCATTCAAAAGTTATGAGCACACGTGGGGTATTTACAACATTACTATCACGTGGGTCTGTCATCACAAACGCATCATTGCAAATCTTAAGAATCCAGATTTTTCCCAACTCGATGGTCTTTGAAAGAGTCTTCAATATAAATGACATGCAAAACCCAATGCTTAAGGTGTCAACTCCCAAGTAAGTAAAGCACCAATGGATTGTTTACACATAAGCACACGAGATAATGGACCTTATCTATGTAGACACTGCCCTTTGTCCAGGGGGCAAGAATCCCTGGATGGTCCTTGAAGAGAGGAAATAGCCAAGACAGACCCTATCTGAGTTGTCCCAAATGAGTAAAATAGTCATGTTAGTCTTCTGATATCGATATATCAAAAATAGTCATCTTCTGACATCTATAGATATCAGATATCGATACCGATATATCAAAAACAGTCATCTTATCTTCTGATATGAATCTGACATAAACCTTAGACTGAAGTTAAAAAGAAATTCTTTTATTTAAGAGATCTTAAAAAGGCCTTTGGAAGTACATTTTCATTTGTAAAATACATGAAACTTAAAAAATATATTTTTTTTTTAGGTTGACGGAAAGAAATCACTGTCGTCTGAAGACTCTAGGGACCAAACGCCATTGTCATACCTGCCTACACCCTTTCATCAGGAAATTTTAGGGAGCGAAAAGCTGAAGAAGCTTCAAAATCTATGTGCACTTTTGTTTTTTGATGAGAAGATGCACGATTTGGAAAATTCCATAGTCTGTTTATTTATTAACAATAAATAACTATGTAAAAGAGAACCAAAACTGGGAGTGAGAGATGCAGAAGTACAGTGGTGGAAGAGAGCCGCCCCTTCAGCCATGTGGCCAGGGCTCACCCAAACTTCCTTTGAAGGGTGCAAGTTTTATTTTTTAAAGCTGCTCCAACAAATTAAACAAAAGGCAAGAAATGAAAGCAGGCACTTAAAGCTGCAGCTGCTGCCCCGTTTATTTTTGCCAAAAGAAAGGGGGAGGAGGGACAGTTAGAAGCTCGTTGTACAGTTAGAAGAGAAATCTTGAAATGGAAGAAAACTCAAACCAACATTTTTTTAAGTATCTACAAAGCATTCTAGTGGTATTCTAAAAGCACAAGCATGCAGCAGCAGACTTAAGAACAAAGATATCGACTCGACCAATCAATGAAACAATCAATAATATACAAACCGAAACGCCAACAACCCAATTCAGAGTGAGCCAGGCCA